TCCTTTCCTTTCCTTTCCTTTCCTTTCCTTTCCTTTCCTTTCCTTTCCTATCCTTTCCTCTCCTCCCTCCCTCCCTCCCTCTCTCCTTCCCTCCCTCCCTCCCTTTCTTTCTCTTTCTCTCTTTCTTTCATTTTTTTCAAAAAAGCATGGCAAATTCCACAACACTGAGTTGGGATTTTCTTATCCCTAAAGACCAATGAATTTCATAGATATTTAAGATTGATTCCACACTGTTTTCAAGGAGAAGGCCTGCATTCTCCTCTAAAGAAGAGCAAGTAAATTTTGTTTTTCACCCCCGTGGGATTGGACCTCAAGAAATAACTCTAAAAAAACAGAGAACACAAATGCCTCAGTTGTACTAAGCTTAGATTCAAATTATTATGTTCACTTGAAAAAAATGATTTCCTGGGGGCCTTTTGGCAACTTCCATTTTCAATGTAGAGAAGAACTTAGTCACCCTGAAACCCTACACAATAAATTGGAACTTGTAGATGTGGGCAGAAGGTTTGGGGGTGGACATTGTGTGTGTTTAATTTAAACCCTTTATCACTGAGAAGCTGTTGTATGGGTCAGAGAAAATGAATGCTTAGAAGTTGTTCACATCTTCAAGGGCAGAAGCAAACCACATGTCTCAGCTACATTATTTATTTTTTATGCATAAAGTGAATCATTTCTTCTGTATTAATTTCCAATGGGTTTTACCCTCTATTTAAATGCTTTGAAAAACAGCGCATTGACAATGGGTTGATATTTTTCTTTAAAAGAAAAATAGAATTACGAAAGCCAAGAGAATCTGAAGCCTGTTTTGTTTTAAAACTCTTTATGTTCTGTGGTTGATGTTGTTTGTTTGTTTGTTTGTTTTTATTTTTTTATTTTTGTTATTATTATTATTTTATTATTATTTTTTTTGGCATACTACATGCAGTTCTTTAACCAATGTCTGTTTGGCTAATGTAATTAAAGTTGTTAATTTATATGAGTGCATTTCAACGATGTCAATGGTTTCTTAATATTTATTGTGTAGAAGTACTGGTAATTTTTTTATTTACAATATGTTTAAAGAGATAACAGTTTGATATGTTTTCATGTGTTTATAGCAGAAGTTATTTATTTCTATGGCATTCCAGCCGATACTTTGGTGTTTGCGAGGCATGCAGTCAATATTTTGTACAGTTAGCGGACAGTATTCAGCAACGCCTGATAGCTTCTTTGGCCTTATGTTAAATAAAAAACCTGTTTGGGATTTATTTTTTTATTTTTATTTTTATTTTATGTCTTACTGGTTTTCCAAGATAACTTTACACACATTATTGCCACACCCTTTGCTGGGTGAGAATTTTGTTTCTCCTGTAATTATTGGGGTGAGTATTAGAAGCAGACTGAATGGGAGAGAGAGGACAAAAGCTGGAATGAGAGAACTGGAGAGAGGAAAAGAATAAATGTTGCTGTGGCAAGGCTTTGTAATGGGCTGCAGATGCTTGGACCAGTAGTTCTATTGTATTCATTTTGTTAATTTCCCATTTCTCAAACTGTAGTAGCAAGTAACATGAAATGAAGTAACATTCCTTTCTTCCCTCTCTCCTT